TAGCGACGAGTCCAAATACAATGGTAAAATACTAAGACCTACAACGGCGGACTCTTAAACTGCATGTAACGGATTTGTTCAAGCTCTTGGCTGATTATATCCGCCAACGTCCCTGATTACATAATTAGACAACAGATCACATGGACCATCGCACGATGGAATGGAAGCTTTTAGGAACATCCCTTCTGTTCATTCTACCCCACCCTCCCCCCCCCCCCCCCGCCCTCACCTCCCCACAACCACCCCTTCATAAACACACACCCCCCCCCCCCCCCCCAGCCCTTTCAATGGGCACTTCATTTTGCGCAAGCATTAAGAACACGCAACAAGCTCTTTCTTGATCGGCCGACGCCTTGACGCACCTGTTGACTGCTTTTGTAAAGGGTGTATCCTTGCTGGACGAGGCTTTGTATATTTACTTTTAAAGTTGTATTATTTATGAATTAACGTCTTTTGCGAAAAACATCTTTCTGTCGTCTTCACCAGTATTGTACATTATGTTTGCACCAAATTTAAAGACATTCATAAAATGTACATATTATAAAACTTCAGTGCCGGGCATTTGAATAGAGATTAGACAGGTTAAAAACTAAATATTGTTAATAAACACATTTTGGTTACAAAATATGACACATACACTGGTCCTTTAAAAGGCCATTTCCGAGTTCCAAAATCCTGGCCTTCAAAATTAGGCCAAATGAAGAAACTTTCCCTTAAAATGAGGGGGGTTTTGAAAGAAAATTTATTCCATAATTAAGATGTCTCACTTGAGGCAACTCCGAATTGGCCTAGGTTCCCTTTATTCTCTGGTCCAGAAACTATAGGGAGATTGGGTGTAAGCTGTCGGGGCAACGAGTTCTGGATCGTTTGGGTGGACAGGCGTTACTTATAATTTGTTAATGGTTGCCTTGGATACCATCCACCCAAACGATTCCAGACATCGTTGCACCGAAAGCTTGTACCCATTCCCCTAATAGTTTCTGGAGTAGGGAATTTTAAAAAAACTCGTCTCTTAGGGTTGATTTCCACTGTGGCGTAATTTTTACTTGCGTACGTGCGTAAAATTTACGTTCGTCCCCCCTCCCCCCAAAATAGAGGCAACGCAAGAATGGTCGTTCGTAAGCGTAAACGTTGAACCTCGCTCATCTTCTCGTTTAAGCTCAGCACTTTTTCATCTTGCCTCTATTTTATTTGCGTGATTAAAATTTACGTGCGTTAACGTGCGTAGCCAAAAACGCGTCAGTGGAAATCAATCTTCAGTTACGAATAGTAAAGGTATAAAATCCTTTGTGTAAAAATGTGTGCAAAAGTATATCAGGCTTAGACACGAAATAAAACATACTTTCTGTTAAAAAATAACAACTTGTCAGCCCCATGAGTTACTTCAAGTTCGAAAGGGCAGGGCAAAAGACTGGAACACGCCCTAAACAAAAATGGGGGAGAACACAATTTCATAAATCGTCTGAGTTGTTCAATCTTATCATATAGTAATGGGAGTCCGTCTAATTAAGCCTAGAACGGTTTCTAAAACGTTCCGTTCAATACTGTTACTACTGTTAATGAATGTTCTTGGGCAAATAAAAAAATTATGGACGCACAGAGCACTATACATGTATTCCACAAAAGACTTGCGTTCATTACCTAAGCCTAGATCTCTATTTGAAATGTGATCAAACCAAAGTGTAGCCTTCGTGGAAGGCGCAACAGAAGGGGAGGGGAAAAGAGGAGTGCGAAAGGGAAAATGGAACGCCTTTACCCACCATCTTCCTAACAAAACCGATAAGGTCAATTGTCAATACGTGACCAACACAAGTAGGGGGCGTTCCTCTCCATGAATCGATTTACTTTGTTTATCTGAAACTGTCAAGTCGAGAAGCTTTTTATCAAATGATATCATAATTGAGAAAAACGAACAATTTTACTGTTGTACGTTGCTCAGCAAACACGACAAATGAAATGAACAAAAGTTTTTGGTCCTGCCTCATCAAACAGTCAAGTCGCTTCTTGACTGGCGCAGTTTTCATTTTCGAAAGCTTGTACAATACTATACTGGATTATTCATGATGTTTAACAATATACAAAAGTGTATAAATTCAGTTAAAATACAAAAACGAGACGATAAGAAAATAGCAATAAAATACATCATGAAAAGGAAACACGAGGTTTATACCCTATAACATTTCCTAAATAAGAATAAAAATACTTTAAATTGTTACCTATCACTATTTATATATTCACAGATTTAAAAAAGACTTTAACCTCGCTTTTAACTGTTTAAAAGATTCTGTTTCTAATAGACAGCTTGAAAGATTCTGCTTCCAATAGGGAGCATTTCCTACGATGCCTGCATTTTGGTTGTTTCTCTATTATTTATGAGAGTTTACGTTTATTCTTGTAAACTTTATAATAAAAAACTTGGTCTCTTTTGCCAACCAAATAGAAATTAAATACCAGCGAGAAAATCTCTACAGTTAATAAATTCTACGTAAAAGCTGTTATAATTAAGATCACGTAAGATACTATTAAAGAAATTTAGTCAGTTATACAGCCAGACTATGTTTCTCGCTAATGCGCGGCAATAAGTTACTCATTGTGGCTTCACCAATGAGAAATTTGATAAGAAGGTTCTTATAGCAGGTCCCTTTCCTCAGGGGCACCCAACGACTGTTTTCTGTGAAATATCTTCGAAACTTGTCTAATAAACTCCCTACAATTTTCTGAAGTTCAATTTTTCCCATTTCACTCCTCAGGTTAGGCTATTTCTCGTAGAGAAAGGAAACCTAAAATTTTCGGAATCGAAAATGCGATGCAGAAAGGAATCAGAAAACTATCACTTTCGCAAAACTTTAAATTGCGGCTAAAATTTTCGGGAAAGTAATACTGAAGCCCTTTGTTATTTCGATAAGACTCAAGTTGCCCTAGGATGACTGAACAGATATAAATTCTCCGCGCCACTTAGAATACATTTCTAGAAATCTAAAAGTACTCTGGATAGCCTAAAAAGTATTTTCAGAGCATTTAGGGGGAAACAGTCGTTGGTTGCCCCTGTTTCCTCTGCCCAATCTCCTCCCTCTTTTTACCTCCTTTCCCTTCGCATTTCGACGCCTACCAGGCAAGGCTAACCAAAGTGAAGCGGCTCGTGTTCATGGAAGTGATTGTGCCGGTTTGAGGCGAGCGAGAAGCTGACGATTGACGCGTAGCAAGAATCACTCAGAACGAAAGGAGTGCCGAACAGTATGATTAGAAGTCTATACAAGTTTGACGTCTTGATTTGCACTCGACTAGTTGTGCATAGAACTTGCCTACTACTGGTCCTGCCTATCCCTCCTTACGCTCCGCGCTCACCTCATGCTTCACCTCTAACGTATCAAAATGGCGCCTGCACTGAAAAGTACGATTTTTACCACTTTGCGGTTTCACAAAGGATCCCAGGTATATACACATGTGTACAGCTGTTATAACATTTGAAAGGTAAGCACTTACTAAACATTTTTGTCAAGTTAAATGATTTGATTACTCAGTTCACAAGTTCTTTGTTTCTGTAGCTCCTTCGTCATGTTCAGAACTGCTCTTATCAAATGCACCTGCAAATAGAAAAACTAGTCATGACGGTTCACTTTCGCGTGTATTCTTGTACGATTTGTTTTAGCTATCGATCAACATGCTTCTTTTTCTGTTGACCGTTACACGTATTTTGTACCGTTGAGTCAGTCTTTGAGTCAGTCTTTAACACAGATTTTTTTTAAAGAGTCAAACCGGTAGCAAGACTTTTACACTCGCATATACGCTAGAACTAAAAGGCCCACCTAACCACTTTCATCTTAAATGCTACTTGATTATAATTTCCTCTGTTTTACATTTGTATAGTTATCATATATCATGAAGCAAGAGATTGATATCCAGGAGCGTAGAGTCCATATACACACATACGCCCGTGCGTACATGAACAGCTAAAACTTATTTCCGGAAAAACATTTTTTTTATCATTGATTCGGGATGACTGATACATTATTGCACTACATTGGTGTCTTTGTGTCAGTATTTTCCTTTATATCCTCTTATTATTCTATAAAACTGACAGCCTCCCTGGCCTTTTCCCCGTAAACACTTTATTACCTAGTGGCCAAATGAATCGATTTAATTGTTTTCTTTGGGGCAAACTGAATCTTACGACTTCCCCGAGGAACTAGCAAAATAAGACGCGGTTGATGACAAAAATCAGTCCGTTAAACACATGAAAACGACAAAGGAGTTGTTGCTCTTTGCGCATTTACCCGAAAAATATCTGCATAAAATTGAAATAACGAAATCAAATGCTCCTTCAGCCTCCTGGGCTAGATTAAGTACCCACGGGATCTTCCACTCCGCTTGTTAACCCCCGCCCGCTTTTTAATTATTCTGTCGCACTGAACTTGCTCTGGTTCCCCCGAAAGAATCTGTTTTAAAATGTATGCAACTCTTTTCTTTTGTCAGGTACACCCTCAAGACAACGTAAGTTTTACACTTACTTACTCTATGGCTTTCAAATTTTATCGCTTTCTATATTGTCATTTGATTTAGTCAATTTAGTTATTGTGTAAACAGGGGCCCGTTTCTCAAAAGTCAAGTCCCGAAAATTTTTCGGGTCCAAAAAGCTGTTTTATGTTTGCCGTCTTTGCATTCAAAATCAAAGTTTCATTAATTTTGAAATTTATGCAATGAAGCTATCGGTTACAAAAAAGGGTAATGAAGCAAAACTGACCGATTTGTCAGCTAGGAAATGTGCTACGATTAAACAAGTTTTGATTTGAAAATTTGCCTTCGGACCCGAAAAGTTATCGGGCCTTTCGAGAAACGGGCTCCAGTTTCGAGAATGCTGTACCAAATATTCTTCAAAAACGAAATAAAAAGGGTTCAAAAACGCATTGAATTAAGAAACTAACGAAACATTAACTCCCGTAATACAATTTTTAAAACCATGAAATTTCACAGATTTTGACTCAAAATAGCTAAAAAAAAACCTACAACGGTATCAAATACAAACCTTTAAATGACACATCATCTCCAATCAGCATAAACGGCGCCCACAGCCTGACGTCAGAAAAGTTATTCTCCCTCATCCACTTCATGGCCTGGTGAAGAGATTCACTTGCACTTTCACCATGAACAAGGCGCTCGTAAAAACGATTCATGAACTGCATAGTAGCTTCGTCATCTATAGCCCACAGTGTTGCCAGCACGGCGCGTGCACCTGATGCTAGAAATGCTCGGGCGATTCCAACAACTCCCTCAGCTCTAATCTGGCCACTTGCACTGTGACAACAGCTGAGAACAACCAGCTTGGCTGTCAGTCGAACTTGTGAAATTTCAGCCATTGTCAATAAGTAGTCTTCTTCGTGAGGAGTACCGCACGAGCTTATAGGAGAAAGAACGATTTCTCCACGTTCGGCATCACCATGAGCAGCAAGGTGAATGAGACTTACTGACGGCATTTTTTCTAGGACTGTCTGCTTTCTTGCATCATTTCCCACCAAAGGCTTAACACCAACCAGTCGCCCAATCATCTGTGCTTCCTTTCTTGCCCAAGGCAATGGGTCCAATTCCAGAAGTTCTCCTTGATAGTATACATCACGAACTTCTGGGTCTCCTACGATCAGCGCACCTGTTTCACTATGGTAGTCGGCAGAACTGAGCTGAATCGACTTTAGAGTCGTCAAGGAAGGGACAATACGAATCCTATGTGTGTCTGATAGGTACTTTGTTTCTTCCTTGACTTTGTCATTCGTTAATGCAGCAAAAGGAATTCTGTACAACAAGGGATCAGGAATAATGATGATTTCTGGTTCCTCGAGTAAATCAGCAACAGGAGTAACGATCATATTGTAACCATCACCCAGGGATGGAGTGTCTTTATCCTCAGTTGCAGTGCCGCCCTCCTGAGGTGCACGGCATTTAGCCAAGGAGCTTTCGTATGAAGAGAAGAATGATCGATCTTCACATTGTTCTTGACGCAATTCTCGAGAACCACCAATTTTTTCATTTCCAAACAATTGATCTGCACTTTCTTTCAGTTTCGTTTGTCGAAACACCACGCTTTTGTTTGGCTTAAGAATCCAAAAATACATATTATCATCGAAGCAGGAAACATAAAGACAAGAACTAAGTGCATTTTTGTCCATGATATTCTCAATACCGATCCATGACTGTGGATTGACTGATACCTCTTTTTCAACAGAGTACTTATCTGAAAGGATGTCTGCAAGTGCTCTGGACCGTCCAAGCTCGGCAACGTAAAGAGCTTCATAATAGCTGCCTGTAGCAATCAATAACCTACAAAGAAGAAGGTAAGGGGACACATGTTCATCGAAAAAAGAAATTTTGAACTGATCTTTCACCATTAAAAATTCATGCATTTCTTCGCACTTCTGAATGCTTGCACACAGATTTCGAAGAAGTTCAGTTATGCTTCCTCCTGCCACTAACGCGTTCAGAGCAATGGTAAGATGGCTGTTAAACTGCATTTCAATGTCCCCTATTTCGTAACCTATCTCAAGTGCTTTATTAACAAATTCTTGACTCTTCGCATTAAGCTGAAATTCTCGACAAAGTTTTCCCAGATTTAAGTATGAAGCTCCAACACCACGTTTGTCACCGATTTCTTCTTTGATCGTCAGTGCTTTTTGAAGGTATTCTTTTGCTTTGGTATATTGACCAACAGATGAAAACACCGCTCCTAGATTTCCGTAATCTGATGCTTCTCCTTTTTTGTCCCCGATTTCTTTCCTAATCACTAGTGCTTTCTGAAGGTATTCTTCAGCCTTGGTATATTGACCAACAGATTTAAACACAATTCCTAGATTTCCGAAAGAAGATGCTTCTCCTTTTTTATCACGGATTTCTTTTCTGATCACTAATGCTTTTTGAAGGTATTCTTCAGCCTTGGAATATTGACCAACAGATAAATACACACTTCCTAGATTTCCGTAATCTGATGCTTCTCCTACTTTGTCACCGATTTCTTTCCTGATCACTAGTGCTTTCTGAAGGTATTCTTCAGCCTTGGTATATTGACCAACAGATTCAAACACAGTTCCTAAATTTCCGAAAGCAGATGCTTCTCCTTCTTTGTCACCGATTTCTTGTTTGATCACTAGTGCTTCTTGAAGGTATTCTTTAGCCTTGGTATGTTGACCAACAGATTCAAACACAGTTCCTAAATTTCCGTAAGCAGATGCTTCTCCTTTTCTGTCACCGATTTCTTTCCTGATCACTAGTGCTTTCTGAAGGTATTCTTCAGCCTTGGTATATTCACCAAGAGATTCGAACACATTTCCTAGATTTCCGTAAGCAGATGCTTCCCCTTTTTTGTCACCGATTTCTTTTTGGATTACTAGTGCTTTTTGAAGGTATTCTTCTGCTTTGGTATATTGACCAACAGATAAAAACACAGTTCCTAGATTTCCGTAATCTGATGCTTCTCCTTGTTTGTCACCGATATCTTTCCTTATCACTAGTGCTCTCTTAAGGCATTCTTCTGCTTTGGTATATTGACCAACAGATAAAAACACAGTTCCTAGATTTCCGTAAGCTGATGCTTCTCCTTGTTTGTCACCGATATCTTTCCTTATCACTAGTGCTCTCTTAAGGCATTCTTCTGCTTTGGTATATTGACCAACAGATGAAAACACAGTCCCTAGATTTCCGAAAGAAGATGCTTCTCCTTTTTTGTCACCGATTTCTTGTTTGATCACTAGTGCTTTCTGAAGGTATTCTTCAGCCTTGGTATATTGACCAACAGATTCAAACACAGTTCCTAGATTTCCGTAAGCAGATGCTTCTCCTTTTTTGTCACCGATTTCTTTTTGGATTACTAGTGCTTTTTGAAGGTATTCTTCTGCTTTGGTATATTGACCAACAGATAAAAATACACTTCCTAGATTTCCGTAATCTGATGCTTCTCCTTCTTTGTGACCGATTTCTTTCCTGATCACTAGTGCTTTTTGAAGGTATTCTTCTGCTTTGGTATATTGACCAACAGATAAAAACAGAGTTATGAAGGTATTCTTCTGCTTTGGTATATTGACCAACAGATAAAAACACAGTTCCTAGATTTCCGTAAGCTGATGCTTCTCCTTTTTTGTCACCGATTTCTTTTTTGATCACTAGTGCTTTCTGAAGGTATTCTTCAGCCTTGGAATATTGACCAACAGATAAAAACAGACTTCCTAGATTTCCGTAATCTGATGCTTCTCCTTTTTTGTCACCGATTCCTTTCCTGATCAGTAGTGCTTTTTGAAGGTATTCTTCTGCTTTGGTATATTGACCAACAGATAAAAACACAGTTCCTAGATTTCCGTAATCTGATGCTTCTCCTTTTTTGTCGCCGATTTCTTGTTTGATCACTAGTGCTTTCTGAAGGTATTCTTCAGCCTTGGAATATTGACCAACAGATGAAAACAGACTTCCTAGATTTCCGTAATCTGATGCTTCTCCTTTTTTGTCACCGATTTCTTTCCTGATCACTAGTGCTTTTTGAAGGTATTTTTCTGCTTTGGTGTATTGACCAACAGATAAAAACACAGTTCCTAGATTTCCGTAATCTGATGCTTCTCCTTTTTTGTCACCGATTTCTTTCCTGATCAGTAGTGCTTTTTTAAGGTATTCTTCTGCTTTGGTATATTGACCAAGAGAAAAAAACACAGTTCCTAGGTTTCCGTAACATAGTCCAACTCCGCGATTGTTTCCAGTCTCAATCAGGATGCTGTGTGCCTTCTCGTAAAACTGTTTTGCTTCCTCGTATTTGCTTCTTTGATAGCAGATGTTCGCTAGTTTAAGTAATATTATCCCTTCTTCTTCATTTTGGCCACTATTGTGTAGTGCCACGTGAAGTATTTTACCACATTCTATCGCACTAGTGTGATCGTACATAAGAGTATAGCCATCAAGAAGTTTATCGTATACATAAATAACAATTGGTGTGGTACGTTCTTTGATTGTTTGTAGGGCGTTGCCGTTAAGGAGCACCAAACATTCCTTAAAGATTTCTACTGCTTTTATAATACGTCCAGTGTTGAAAAGGAAAGTTGCAACGAGTGCACCAATATGAATGGTCCATAGAATCTCCAGGATGTTGTTCATAACGCTTTTTTCTTAACCTTGAGAAAAAGATACTTTAAGAATAAGAAAGTGGAAACAAGATTCGTAACATTTTTTTCAACTGAAGTTAAACTTCTTAGGCAAAATAATCAAGCCTTAATGTAAGATTTACTGAGGTACTTCATGACCATAAATGTTGGACTATCATTTCTTTGGCCTATTCTATACTTTTCGAATCTGCGAATGCAGAATATCTAAACAAATAGTTTTACAGAGTAGTTTGTAACCTACTGTTCACCATGAAATTCATTTATTACATATAAATACCAAAGAAATACCAGGTGAGCTTTCACGCGGTAACTTGATATTTTCACACGTGAAATGTATTAACCGAGAATGAGGTCTTACAGGGAAATCTCAGACCGAGGCGTGAATGGCCTGTAGAATCTCAAACATGTCTTCCATAGCATTTTTTTCTTAACCTTGAGGGAAAATATGTTAAGAGTTTAATTCTTAACGTCTTTTTAACTAAACAGTTAAATTTCTTAGGCAAGATAATCAAGCTTTCATGTAAAATTTACTGAAGTCCTCTGTTAAAAATATATCTATATAAAAAAAGTAGATTCACCAAGCAACCGTTGTGGCTTTACAGGTGTTAAAATTATGGAATCCCCAATGAAAGGGTTCCTTAGTCTCCACTGAAGCAGTGGATAAGGTGAAAGGGAGAGAGTGTTAAAGCCACAAATGTTACAACTGACCACAAATGTATCACCATCAATGTAATAATCAAACATAAATGTAACAATAACCACAAATGTGATAAATTATAAATCATAAATGTGTTAAGTATACAAAATCTTATGAATGTTATTTACCGGCTGGAAGGTCCGTATTGGGAGAAACTGTGCCCGAGGTCTTGCTTACCGCGGCACAGTTTCTCCCAATACGGACCGACCTAGGCCGGTGAATAAAATTCGTATTTTTTTTCCCACTGAGATTTAAAAGTTTCAGGAAAATTTTACTTCGACCTCCAAACTATGTGTGTTGAAGTAGGGCGAGTTCGTGTTGATGAAGCGCGCGATCGATTGCGCAAACCAAACCAACTCATCACAGCATGACTTTTCACTTGTAAGTTATATTATCAAAGTTAAGCTCTCTTTTAGAATAAAGAAAGGTTTTTGTGTATTGGTAGATAATTCATAATCTGCGTGTCAACAGGGAAGAATGGACGAACTTGATATTAAAAGCCACAGACTGAATATTTACTTTAAGATTAGGTCAATCGAGCGGGATGAAAACTTCTCAAAGGCTTTATAAAAAGAGCTAATTACACATACCAATCTTAAGGATTTGAATTGAATACGAATAAAAGAAAGCGATGTGGGTAACAAGTATATAAACAAAGAAATGAAAAGGGCGATAACCGACTGCTGGAAAAATTTTTGTCCTGTTTATTCAAGATTGAAAGCTAAATGCACTCATTGACACAACAACCTTCTCTGAAAAGTAGAAAACTAGCGAGTTAAAATTCAATGAAAAACGGCAGAATCTAGCTTCAAGCAGCACAAATGGAAAACAAAACTACAAACAGAGCAAAAATATCGAATAAACGGTGCATAAAATCAAGATTGCAGTACTTACAGAGGAGGTTATAAAGCTAGTGAAGCGACATCACGAGCCGCCTGTTTTGATTTTATACTTCCTGGCTTAATTGCTTGATTCTCCCTTCAATTTTTTTGTCTGAATAATAAAATTCACTTTTCCCTACCTAATGCTAATAATAGCGCAAGTTTTAAAAGAAAAATGCTTTTAAAAATCACGGTTTTGGTCATTCACAAAAAATAAACGAACTTGTGAATGACGCTTCCAACGATTCCGCTCGGGCTAGCGGGCAAGATCGTTAGAAACCTCCCGCTCTCGGAACCAATCAGATGGCAGCATTTGCTGGAGAATTCCGCCGGTTGCGAGCTAAGAAAAAAATAATGTCGTTATTTATGGTACGAGTGGTGTTTCGAAAGTTAAAATTGCACGAGCCATTTCGTATAGTTAGCAATAATTTTGTCCGGCTGCAGCAATTTTGCATGTGTTTTTATTTCACGCTTCCTCGCTTTTCCAAAGTAGATTCGGTATTAAATTGTATAGCCTCTATTGGCACTCTATAAGCTGTTAATGTTTCCCTTATTGAACTGTAACTTATGATTGCCAAAAGGTTGACATCATGAGTCATCTAAAAACCTTTTTTAAGGTGGCTCCCTAGGGTATTTAATGTTTGATATGTGTTACGCGGGTGATCTTTGAGAGGAAGGGTAGCTTGTTAACCAAACTGAACGCAGGGTTGTCGGAACAGCAACAAGAAGATTTATTCCAAAATGAACGTAGTTTCCACGAAGTAAAACTCCACAACACCACGTAACTCGTTAAACTTACACGGCCTCCGCCAACTTGAATAAACTTGATAAACTTACACGGCCTCCGCCAACTTGAATAAACACTGCCTTCGTCACACTTGACTAAACACGACTATCGTCAAACTCTCTCGCGTGTGAAAACTAGTTAAAACTTAACTCGGACTTGTCCTCTTATATTCTTTCACAACAACATTCTAGAACTTCCTAAATAGTCTAATTCTAGAAAGATTACAAAATATACCGCTTTTAGGCACGCTTACACAAAATCCTAAAATACACAAATTATGCACTCTCGCGAAGCTTCTAGAAAGTCACGCTAGTCACGCAATACAACTTTTCGTAACAATATGCGTTCCTTTTTCCATAGAGCAAAAAATTTCTCAACTATTCTAACATAACAGGTTGGCTATCAAATTTTTGTATGTATTTTCTTTCTATGGGTAACGACCCCGCGTATGGGGATATGGTTGTGAGGTACTGAGGGAAGACTCTGCCTTCCATGCCACATCCATTCTAATACGAGTTCGAAGCGTCTACTGAACAAGACCAACAACTGTCAGGCAGATTTCAAACGTCGAACTTTTCATGTGCCGAACTTAATACCTATTTGGGTCGACCCAAAATGATTAAGTTCGACGGTTGATTCAGACGTCGAAAAGTAAACAGGTACTATTTTCGCCGCTTGAAAATGTGAAAATGTATTGATAAAGGGGTATGAAACGATCCATTTTCATTCCATTTCGTAGGTCTAACGATTACCAATTGAACGTACTTGACCTTTCAATTTGAAGACTTCGCTTTAAGCAATTACATGTACATGTACAGCAAACACAACGACCCAATCATTACCCGTTTCCACTGCAAGCGAAATTTCACCAATGCGAATTTTCGATCCGACGAAATTTCGCCAAGATGACTGCGAAATTTCGTTTGACTCAACGAAAATTCGCGAGCGCTTTGACGAAATTTCATGGCGAAATCTCGCGAGAACAAAAAACGAAAAACACCGAATTTCTTTTGCATTTCTTTTGCACAGTACTGTAGTTTGAGCATTTATAGTCACCAAGTCGGAGTAGCTTTTTCAGTGCTGTGTTTTGCTTATGTTTTTGTTGCTTATTAGTTTGGTGCAGCATGACCTCCATCAAATCCTGATGTTGGTTTCTGGACTGCTCCTCCTTCTTACTCTCAACCTTTAGTCGCTGCTTCTGTAGCTGCATGTCTTCCATTTTCCATTTCTGCATGAGGTCGTTTTTTTCTCGCAAATATGCACTAGTGTAACCTCCACTTCTTCGACTGTCTGCTCTTGTTCCTGTTCCATTCTCTAACTCATCTTTCCTTTGTCTTTTCTGTGCCCCGCCAAGGTTCTCTCAAGCTCTCAGTTTCTCATTTCCGCCGCTTTGGCACTATCTTCTTTTTGTCATTTTGCGCTGTTTCTTCAACCACAGATTCTTTTTCTTCTATCTCGTCAAGTGCATTTTCAACGTTACTCAAATCTGTATCTATTCAACTTGGTTTTCTTTATCTCGCATCTTTTCTCTAAATTTGTCGCTCAGAAATGTATATGGTGGGAATTTGACGTGCAACGGCTACCGGAAGTAGGTAAACACGCATTTTAAAATTCCGCCCGCCGTCGTAGACATCCGCCGTCGTCCGATCTTAAGGTCCCTAATACGCATTGGCTAGAGCACTGCACCGGTATCGCAGAGGCCAGGGTTCGAATCCCGGCAAGCCTGAATTTTTCGTTTTTGTCAGGCTTTCTATCTCTAACTGCATAAGTTGCGTCTTTAACAGCGATATTTAAACTCTTTAAAGTTCAACACGCGGGCAAAAGAAGTATGTCAGGATTTTTTTCAAGTCATAACTAACAGTAAAGAAAATGAGATAGAAAAACGTCTTTCCTTGGCTGCAGAGTTCGTGTGCAGTGGTGCACTGACAAAGCAAGCCAAACGTTTTTAGCGAACAAATAATGCCTGGGCATCCAATTGAGATTACAGTGGAACATCGATACAACGAAAGGGCCAGGGGACTAGCAATACGTGTGCTTTATTAAGGTTCTACTGAGGTCTTCAACACCGATTTCTTCCCTGTTCAGGGCAACAAAGCTGTTCATAAAAAGACACACTTGGTTAAACTTAAAGGCAAATGCAGCACTTATTACGGTGCTATAGGATATACAATTCTGATTATTCAGTTTGAGGGTTATTTAGGTGTAAATCACAATAACTCGATAGATTTACTTACTGATAGATGTACTGCTTGAAATATAAATGTTGGTAAGCTAATTTATAACACATTCATATACGTTATGATTTAGTACCGCCCAGGGTATACTCGCAGCACTTCACTTAGAATTTGTAACCTCTAGTAATATACAAAAGAAACCCTCGTTCAAAGTCCTGGTTCGAATCCCAGCTGGAATCCATGCTCGAGTTCTAGCTCTGTATTTAGGCAGTTTCTCAAGTATATGTCATGGAAACTGCAGTTGAATTTTGCGCGATAACTTAAAGCTCTCTTGGAAATATTGCCTGCGTTCTAATTCATTCGCTTTGCTTTTTAAATAGACGAATCTGCCAACTCTTTTACGAAAGTTTCTCATTTTGTCGGCAATTATTTATAGTTTATACTTTCCAGGTT